ACCCTATGAAAGAGAGGCCTCAACGCTTGTGTGTCTTTCATCCTTTCTTCAGGTTCATAGGGTTTCCAGAGGCAAGCTATTACGGAAGTGGATGCTTCCAAGCTTGTTTTAATCAGGGAGCTGCACCCCACTCTCTGTCTGCATTGGGTAACCAAGCCATTAACGCATTTGACACATCAGTGTCACAGTGTTCAGCTTCACAACAACCACAAGTTACCTCTGTACAGCAAGTGGACACACCAGGGCTATACAACCTAGAAGAATGTTTGAACAACACACAATGAAAGACAGGCCCGATATATCAGAGATAGATAGATAGATAGATAGATAGATAGATAGATAGATAGATAGATAGATATAGACAGCATCACTCCTTATCACGAGGTGACCAGAGGATGGATGGATAGATAGATAGATAGATAGATAGATAGATAGATAGATAGATAGATAGATAGATAGATAAAGATACATACATATAAATCCACTGCCCTGGTATCAATTTAATCACAGAGACCCTCACTGGGCTTCTGAAGCGCAGACTTGGGGAGAGTGAGGGGTATGATTTCAACCATCTTTCTGCCACAGATCACCTGATGGGTTGGATTTACTCACCTTTCAGTCAGCTACCTGAGACATTGATTACTGCACTATGCCACCAGCCCCATAAGTATATGTCAAAGTATTAAATGATACTCTTGAATTTGGCTGTTTTGGTTTGCTTCTTTTCCTGACTTGTACATAAATCCTAGATTTCCCGCAGGCCAGGAGTGGGCACACAACCCCAATTGCTCTCCGAGGTTGTCACCCCACAAAAAAACACCAGTTAGCATCCACTCAGCTTCAGTCTGCACACCTCTTGAAAGGTGCTGCTGTGGCATCCTCAGCCACTTTACAGTGCAAGAACCATACCCTCAGAGCTTCAGAGGGTTAGGTGACGGGCTCTCCCCGGGCGAATGCATCCCAAAGCGTCTGGCACACAAAAGTTTCTGGAAGTTTGAGTCGCTTGAAGGTGAGAGCAGCATCCCAGGTAGGGCTTGACCTCCTTCTGCACAGCTTTTTCTACTGATGCCGATGAAACAAGGAGAGGGGCTTCCCAGAAGACTGGCCTAGGATTGTTCCAGGCAGGGAGGTGGTGCGTGAGTCCTGGGCCGTCCGCTGTCGCCATGACTGTCCTGTCCGCGATAAGCCTCCCTCAGGCCCGGTCACCGGCTCCAAAGCCCAGGCCCAGCGCCCAGGCGAAGGCGGTCCAGTATCTGCCCCTCCTCTCAGTTGCCCTCCCAGCTGCTCTGGTAAGCCACGCCCCCTGCCAGGATTCACCAATCAGAGTCTGGAGCGGCCCCGGAGGCGCAGGGGGGCTGTGGTCAGCAGCCAATTAGCGCCAGGGCTCGAGGCGGCTCCGCGCCCGCCCCCGGCCGGAGTGAA